TGGGCCCAGAGGAGAGAGGCTTTGGGGTAGCAGTAGGGTGGAGGAGGGGAGACTATAGGCCTCAAGCCCAAGGAGATGGATGACACAGGGAGAAGCAAGGGAGTATCCATCATCTACTGCGGAGCCCACTGAGGGCTCAGCATGAGTCCATGCTCTGGGAGGCACGAGCTGAGCTGCTTAGCATGGTGCCTTGAAATGGAGCTAGCCCAAATGGAGATGTGCTGTAAGAATAAAATACACACTGGATTTTGAAAACTTGGTAGGACCAAAAACGTAAAATTTTTTATTAATTTTAAAATACTGAGCCAGGCGTGGGTGGCTCACCCTATAATTATAGCACTGTGGGAGGCCTAGGCAGGAAGATCCCTAGAAGCCAGGAGTTTGAGACCAGCCCGGACAACATAGCAAGACCCCAACTCTAAAAAAAATCATATATATATATCTTATATATTTTAATATTTTAAATATTATATATAATATTTCAAAATGTTATGTATATAATTATGTTGAAATAACACTTTGGATTTATTGTGCTAAATAAAATGTATTATTAAGTTCACCTGTTTCTTTTCACTTGTGTAATGTGGCTACTAAAAATTTTAAATTACATATATGTCACTTGCATCATATTTTTATTGGATGGAGCTACCTCAGACCACACTCATTCATTTATTCAACATAATTTTATGAGTGCCAACTATATGCCAGGCAAGGTGCTAAGGATTAGAAGATGAGCAAAACCAGACCCTATCTCTGGTTTTCCGGAGTTTACAGTAATCAAATAATCACTCAGACGGGTGCCTAATTACGAAGAGAGATGAAGTGATCTAAAGAAAGGCAGTGAACATGGTGTGCTCTGAAACCTGATTTCGGCCCAGAGTTCAGTGAGGGCTGCCCTAAGAAAGTATTGGGCTGAGGAAACTTGGGAAAAAGGGTTTGAAAGAGTGTCCTTCCAGGCAGAAGGCATAGCGTGTGCAAAGGCCCTGTGGCTTGAGGGACTGGCAACACTTGAAGAATTATAAGAGGCCTGGCTTGGGGGTGAGGAGGAGGAGGAGGAGGAGGATGGCTACAACAAGACAGTGAGTCTTGAGGACTCCCTGTGCTCTGTGCTCCCGCCCTCCAGGGCCTTTGCTGAGCTGGGTCCTCTGCCAGAACCACTCCCCTCCCCGGGTTTGTTAACTTCACTCATCCTTGAGCACTCAGCTTCCACACAGCCTCCAAGGCCACATTAAGGTTGGTAAGCAGGCTGGGTGCAGTGGCTCACGCCTGTAATCCCAGCATTTTGGGAGGCCAAGATGGGAGAATTGCTCGAGGCCAGGAGTTTGAGACCAGCCTGATCAACACAGGGAGACCCTATCTCTTTAAAAAAAAAAAAAAAAAAATCTCTTTAAAAAAAAAAAAAAGGTTGATAAGCTGAAAGCTGGTGAAGCATTTTAGCTGCTGAGAGGGAATCAGGGAAGGAAGAATGGAAGGAGACAAAAAGGATTTCTATACAATGTGATGGGGGGATGTGCTGCAGAGGGAATCTTGGGTGCCATGTTGTGTTAGTTCATTTTTACACTGCTATAAAAAACTACCTGACACTGGGTAATTTATAAAGAAAAAGGTTTATTATTTATTTATTTATTTATTTATTTTGAGGCAGAGTCTTGCTCTGTCACTCAGACTGGAGTGCAATGGTGCAATCTCAGCTCACTGCAATCTCCGCCTCCCAGGTTCAAGTGATTCTCTCACCTCAGCCTCCTGAGTAGCTGGGATTACAGGCACGTGCCACCATGCCTGCCTATTTTTAGTGGAGACGGGGTTTCACCATGTCAGCCAGGCTGGTCTCAAACTCCTGACCTCAAATGATCCATCCTCCTCCATCCTCCTCAGCCTCCCAAAGTGGTGGGATTACAGGTGTGAGCCACCGCGCCCAACCAAGAAAAAGGTTTAATTGACTCACAGTTCTGTATGACTGGGAGACCTCAGGAGACTTACAATCATGGTGGAAGGCGAAGGGGAAGCAGGCACCTTCTTCACACCACAGCAGGAGAGCGAGGGCGGTGGGGGAAACTGCCATACACTGTTTTTTTTTTTTTTTTTTGGGACGGAGTCTAGCTCTGTCACCCAGGCTGAAGAGCAGTGGTGTGTTCTCGACTCACTGCAACTTCTGCCTCCCAGGCTCAAGCAATTCTCCTGCCTCAGCCTCCAGAGTAGCTGGGATTACAAGTGCATGCCACCAGGCCTGGTTAATTTCTGTATTTTAGTAGAGACAGGGTTTCACCAGGTTGCCCAGGCTGATCTTGAACTCCTGACCTCAGGTGATCCACCTGCCTTGGCCTCCCAAAGTGCTGGGATTACAGGCGTGAGCCACCATGCCCAGCCCACACACTTTTAAACCATCAGATTTTGTGAGAACTCACTCATTGTCACAGGAACAGCTTGGGGGAACCACCCCCATGATCCAATCACTCCCCACCAGGTCCCTTCCTCGACACGCGGGATTACAATTCGAGATGAGATTTGGGTGGGGACACAGAGCCAAACCACATCAAACGTCTTTATGGTTTTTAGCCCTCCTGTTCCTACGAGCCCCTGGACGGTGTCAGTCACTTCCCTGCCCACCACTGCATGCCCCTTGCTCTGAGGAGCTCTTTAAAAGCCCCTCTTCTCACCACCCCTATGCTTCCTCCTTGACTTCAGGCCACCACTGACTCCCACCTCTCAGCCCACCCTGCTCCACCCAGCACCCTCCGCTCTGCAGCTGGAGCTAGTGCTTTCTGAGTACAAGTCTGGGCTGGGTGTGGTGGCTCACACCTGTAATCCCAGTACTTTGGGAGGCCAAGGCAGGAGGATGGCTTGAGCTCAGAGTTCAAAAGCAGCCGAGGCAACATGGCGAAACCCCATCTGCACGAAACATACAAAATAATTAGCCGGGTGTGGTGGCGTGTGCCTGTTGTCCCAGCTACTCTGGAAGCTGAGGTGGGAGCATCACTTGAGCCAGGGAAGTTGAGGCTGCAGTAAGCTGAGATTACACTGCTGCACTCCAGCCTGGGTGACAGAGCAAGACTCTGTCTCAAATTTTAAAAAATAAAAAATAATCAATAATAAAGTACAAGTCTGTCTATGGCACTTCTATACTTAAAACCCCCCAGTGGCTCCCCAGTGTTCCAAGAATGTAGTCTGGACCGCCTCGTGTGTCTCTTCACAAGCTCTCCCCCATGGGGCCCCACTGATCACCTTCCTACTCACTCTCTGGGCTCCAGGCCCCAGAGCCTCCCCAGGCCCTGCGTGTTTTGTGCTGGTGCCCGCCAGGGCCTTTGCTGAGCCGGTTCTTCTGCCAGAAGCACTCTCCCCCTGACCCGTCATGTTAACTCCACTCATCCTTTTTTTTTTTTTTTTTTTAAAAAACAGAGACTGGCTCTGTCTCCCAGGCTAGAGTGCAGTGGCGTGATCTCGGCTTACTGCAAGCTCTGCCTCCTAGGTTCACGTCATTCTCCTGCCTCAGCCTCTCGAGTAGCTGAGACTACAGGCGCCCACCACCACGCCTGGCTAATTTTTTGTATTTTTAGTAGAGACAGGGTTTCACCATGTTAGCCAGGATGGTCTCGATCTCCTGACCTCGTGATCCGCCCTCCTCGGCCTCCCAAAGTGCTGGGATTACAGGCATGAGCCACCGCGCCCGGCCAACTCCACTCATCCTTAAAGACTCAGCTTCCATATACCTTATCTGGCAAACCTTCCCTGACCCCTGGTATGGGTGGGTCTTGCTTAGGATCCCCCACTGTTGTAGCAGTACACACCATATAGGGCCTGTCTGCTCTAGCTTGCTCAAGAATGTAAGGCTGGTGAAGGCAGGGATTTGAGTTCTCCTTATTTCACAGGACAGCATCTGGTTTTCCCCCACCAGACAAGAGACTGGGCAGGGTGGAAAGCCACTCTTAGGTCAAAGAGTATATTTCCCCATCAGCATGGGGGCACCCTTAGGACAGCAGGTGTGCCTCCTTCATCAGGTTAGAATATCCTCAATTCTGGGACTGTCTCCTTCATCAGATGGGAGCCTCGCTCAAGACAGAGATTGTCTTTTCCATCACACTGATTTTCCAAGTACCAGGATTATTTCTCTTACCTACTCTGAATTCCTCCCGCAACACCTTCCATCTTCCTTTCACCCCTCACAGTCTGGGGGCGCAGGAGGGGAATGGAAGACAGGGGACCTCCCCTCCAACCTTGTCTGACTCTGACTGGGCCTGGCTGGCCCTTCTCCCTGGATCTGGAGGTCAGGCAGACTTGTTTGCTGTTTTTACTGAAGAGCAAGCCTCCCTTTGTCTTCCTCAGTGACCACAAGCCAGTCTTGGACTCGGCCAAACCACCAGCAGGGGCTGAGCCTGAGCCTCAGAGACAGGCACAGGCCTGGGGCCAGGAGCCCTGCAGCCCTGGGAGCTCCCAGGCCTGGGCCAGGCGGGGCTCGAAGCCAGGCTGTCAGGAGCCTGGGTTAGGACCTGCCCATGAGAGCTACAAGGGAGGGGCCTGCCTGCCTAACTCCAGGCCAGGCCTGCCTAGTGCCTCCTGCCAGGCCATCTGGAGCCAGATCTCTCTCTCTCTCTCTCTCTTTCTCTCTCTCTCTCTCTCTCTCTCTCTGTGGTGTGTGTGTGTGTCTCCCAAGCCATGTGGGTGGCTGGGAGCTGTGGGGTTGTGACCTGGCCCTCCTGGGAAGCCTCTGACTCACCCGTGGTCAGTTTCACTTCTGACATCTGGTCAAGTTCACAGCTGGCCAGCTTCCTGCATGGCCATTTTCACTTTCCCTCTCCAAGATCTGGGAGCAAAGAGCCCCTTCTCCTTCCCCAACCCACCCCACCCCATAGTGACACATGGGAACTTACTGGCTTTCTGTTAAAACTTCCCCTTTTGGTGTGGGGTAAAAGAGGGCAGGAATTGACCAAATTGGAAATTATACCTGGGTCCCTGGCACACACCCCATCCCAAACAATTCAAACTATGTGTATTTCCAGAAAATCTCTTTGTACTATTTTTCTTTCTTTGCTATTTAATGTTCATCACTTATGTTTTATGTGTAAGTTTCAGGAGGACCCAAGAAATGATTACACAGGAGGCAAGGAGGGGAGGTGACAGGAGGGATGCTGGGGGTCTGGAGCTCGTGGCCCCCAGTTGGGGGGCCAAAAGGGTTCCATCTCAGCCCAAGGGGAGAAAAAAGGGGCCCCAGAACCAAACACATGCTAAAACATACTTGCCAGCCCCCAAAGCCCCTCCCCACCTGCTGGGGAGGAAAATAAATACACTCAGACTCTGTCCCACTCCCCAGGTGCCCAGGTGAGGGGCCAGCAGGTGAGTTTCCTCCCCTCATCACAGATTGAGGTCAAAGAATTGCCATTTACTACAATGCTCCTAGTCCCTTCCACAGGGCTGGGGGAACCCTGGGCTGGGGAGGGGTGGCTGTCAGCGCACAGCCTGCCTGGGGCTTGTCATGCTAAATAGAGGAGAGCCACACTCATTCCAACATCAGGCAAAACAGAACAGGCCAGGGAGGGGGTTGAAAGTCCACTGAGGCCTCATGGCCCCCTTCTGGCCAAGCTCAGGAAAAAACAGTCCTTTGCAGGCTTGTCTAGAGCTGGGAGAAATCCCCACGGGTCACAGTCGTTCCTTCTTGCCGCATTCCCACACTGGCCCACTTTTCTTCATGACAACCTTGTGGGCCCAGCCAACCCCATACTTGCAAGGAAGGGGAGGATGGGGGAGCATTCCTCCACGTGTAAGCCCTTGAAGACAGACGCCAGCTCCAGCCTCAGCAGTCCTTGGCCCGCCAAACCCGGGGGCGAGTGAAGACGGCCGAGCAGACCTCAATTCCCTCCGATGCTTCTCTGGCAGCTGCCCCGGGCAGGATCCGGTCTCAGCCCAGGAGAAAGAACTCATGGAGAAAAGTGAGCTTTCTCCTCCTGTGTGTATGTGTGTGCGCGTGCGTGTGTGCATGCGTCTGTGTGTTGCAAGGTGAGGGGTTCTTGGTCCCTGACCCCTAGGCTGATTCTAGGGGCCAGTGTTAGCTCCGGGTCTGTGCCTGCCGGATGGAGGGCAGCAGACTGGAGCCATGCCACAGTTGTCACACGGCCATGCTTGACAGGGACAGGCAGAGGGAAGCAGCACCCTTTCCACAAACCCCAAACCTGACTCCATCATGGACCAGGCCCTGGGCAAGCACCCCATCTCCACGGGTGGGCGGGCAGTGGGGAAGGGGTGGGGGTCTGGAGACAGTGGAAGGCAAAGCTGACTTGGCTTCAAGCCATTTCTCAGAAAGTCACCTGCCACCCTCCCCTCGCCCTCAGGCAAACCTGAGGCCCCTCATTTAGAGAAGACGGTGCCGGCCTGCACTTGGCCTCCCCATTGCTGTGCAGCTTTGGGCGAGTCACGGCCTCTCTCTGGGCCTCACTGACATATATGCAAAATGAGGGGAGTGGGCTGAGCTTCAAAACCCCCTCCCAGCTCTGACAGGCCTCTGATCCTCTTCATCTTAGGCTGGGGTGGGGGGCGAGAGGGGCTGAGGGACGGTTGAGGCCACTGGGATGCTACCCTTGTTCCCCAAGTTCACAGTGTAGGGTCCATGGCTCTGGTTCCTCGATTCTTCCCTCTGAGTCTCTGGGGCCTTGTCACTTCCCCCAGTACCATCCCTGGTGTCGGTCCCCCAGATATGACACCTGCTGTGGTGGGAGGGGCTGGCCTACCTAGCAGTGTGGGAGGAGGGGGCAGGTGGCCTGAGATGGTGACGGGGCAGGGGCAGGGTGGGGGAGGCAGCAGGGGCACTTCTCTCTCTGGACAGGGAGTGTGGTCAGAAGTGAAGGGGCCACACGGGCTGCACCGACAGGGCTGTGGTTTTGGGGCCTGGACTCTGAGGTCCTGCCCAGAGGAGCTCAGTTCTGCCAGGCGGGCCCCCCACAAAGGGTGGGGGTGCGGGCTCCACAGGGGTTGGCTGGAGCATCGGTCGTCGGAATGTGGGGCGGGGCGGGGACTCCCTGGTTGGGCTCACACCGGGGACGTGGCAGTGGACTCACTGCACAGACTCTCCACGAGGTCAGCTCGCTGGATGCGGCGCAGGGCGGCCAGGAGGGCGTCCAGTGTGGCGCTGTCCTGGGTGGCCCAGCTTGCAAGCAGGGCGCGAACGGGGCAGGCCTCGTGGGTAAAGGAGTCTATGTGCTCGGGCTGGTAGCCCAGCTCGCCCGCCAGGTGCCGCCAGGTGTCCCCCGCAGACCCGTTGAGAAGCTTCTCCACCTCCTCCCGCTTGGCTGGGGGCAGGCTGCTGTAGAGGCCTCCATCACCCTTGAGGGCTGCAGAGAACCCAGAGGAGAGTCAGGTCCTACCCCTGCACTCCTTTCCCCAACAGTGGGTGCTGGGGTAAGACCCAAGGAGGGCGGTGGCAGTGCTCCTCCCCATCGAGAGGCCTAGGGCCAAGCCAAGGTCCTGGGTGGGACACCAGGAAGTGAAGGCACCTGGGGGGACTCGTTGTCCCTTCCTCCTGTCACTCCAGCCCAATCCCTACCCCCATCCCTCCTCTCCTCCCCCCCAGCAATTAATCATGGCAAAGGAGGAGACAGGGCTTCTCAGTTCCAGACATCTACAGCAAGTGTCCCGGAGCTGGGCTATGGGCCACTAATTAGGGTACACACTTAACTACTTGTTCCCCAGAAGTCCAGGGCAGGAGGCTAATTGCAGCTACTTTGGGCAGTAATTAGCCCCCAGGGGGGACAATTAGCTTGATGAGTCTGGATGCTCCAACTTGTAAAAGCCTCCATTTTCCAAGTCCTTTCCCTGGAGAGGACCTCTCCTTCCCATTCCCCTCAGCCAGCCTCTCCATCCATCTACAGGGGCACTGCTGAGCCAGCCCTGCCTCCCCCTCCTCCCACAGTCCTTCCTGAAGTCTAATCTTAACCGCTTCTGTTTCCTCAGCCTCAGCTCCGACTCAGCTCCTCAGCGGGGCCCCTGCTCACCCTGGCCCGAGGCCGTCTGCGTGTGGGGCTGCTGGTCATGCAGGCTCTGGCTGTCCACGGAGATGCCACTGTCACTATGGAGTTTTTCTCCCTCTGGTGGGGGCGTCTGGTTCACTGGCCGGCTGTTGGCTCCTTGCTTGTTCTGCTTGCAGCTGTTCCACCTGGAGCCAGAGGACAGGCCAGGTCTCAGGGGGCGGGGGCCGTAGCAGCGGATGCAGCTGAGGTATCTGTGCTCTGCCGTGCGAGGGCCAGGGGCATGGCGGGTGCCCAACTGTAACCGCCACCCCAGCATCTAAGGCTCCTCTTTGCACATCTGCCCCCCACCTACCCTGAAAGCTCCATGAGGGGCCCTCTGTAAGTGTTCAGTAAATGTTCCTGGAATGAGCAGTGCAGCAATAAGTGACTGCTCAGGAACTCCTCTTCTCCCAATCTACCCTTCTAAAATACTCCCACGTGTGGGCAGTGATACATACAAGGATTTCCTCTGCAATTATAAGCAATAACAAAAACCTGGGAAAAAAAAACAAATGTCCATCAATAGGGGACTGGCTAAATAAATTACCATCCATCCATACTATTGAATGAGTGGTTACAAATGATCAGCTAATCTACATTCCTGAGGAAAGGTCTCCTGAGGGAGACTGAGTGAAAAAAGTAAGCTACAGAATACGTACAATGTGATCTCACTGATGCCTAAAAAGCCCTCTATGTTTACATGTAATTATAAAAGGTTTATATACATGTTTATAAAAAACACACACAGAAAATAGTTGGGAAGGATCCATTTCAAACAGATTCCAATAAGGAGAGGAGTAGGATTTGGGGAGATAAAAGGGGGCTTTTACTTTTGCTTTGAAAGATATTGGTCTTGTTTGCATTTTCTTAAACATGCATGTGTTACTTTGATGATTTTTTTTTTTTTTTAAAGAAAGAATGGAAAATGCATTTAAAGCTTTAAAACGCCTTCTGGGAGTTCTTGCACATCCTGGATTCCTGGATGTGGGTGCCACAGCATTCCCAGTGTGACAAGGGAAGGGGAAGAGACGTATGCACACGCAGGTGACTGTGGGGTGAAGGAGGTTGGGGGATGAAGACACAAGCAGTTGGGGGCTGGGGAATCAGGGCGTGGTACGGCATGGGAGTGGGAGGGGCTGGAGCCAGAACAGGGCAGGAAAGGACAGGACAGGACAGGGTGGATCCTCTCCCCTCACCTCCTGCTGACCTGCTGCACCCTGGAGTGGGGCAGTGGATGATGAGTGAGGATGAGCCTGGTTTGGGGTTGAGTTAAAAGGGTGTGTGTACAAGAAAAAGTTTTCCAACTGAAAAAAAAAAAAAAGGGTGTGTGTGTTTTCAGGTCAAGGTCACAGTAGAGTCTTCCTTGAGGGCAAACATCTCCCCTCTCTGTTGCCACTGTGCCCTCTCTTACCTCTTGAAGGCTATGTAGGCCACAAGGCCCACAACCACAGCAGCCAGGATGGAGCAATAGACGGGGATGAGGTTGTCGGTGGTGCCTCGGGTTACCACGGGCTGGGAGCTGCCCATCACTGTGGTCACCACATCTGCCACCGTGCTGGCTATGAGGTCTTGTTCTGGAGGTGCCTCAGGCTCCTGGGTGCTGGGGGCTGTGCTGTCAGAGCCCTCGGGGGGTGTGGACCTTGTAATCCAACGGCCAGGGATCTCTGCAAGAAAAGGCCACAGGAGTGAGGACCCACTTCCCCCGCCCCTCCCTTTTAGCTGTAACCCACTGCAGTGTTCTTCCTGTGTCCCCGCCCTGGTTCCGGGTGCTCTTGTGCCCAGCTGTTATGCACAGTGTGGGGCTGGGATTGTGTGCATGATGTCATGACGCTAAAGAGCAAGGCCTGTGGGCCACAGAGCTGCATCTCCTTCAGCTTTGCCACTGACTTGCTGGGTGACTCTGGCCCAGCCGCTTTTTCTCTCAGAACCTCGATTTTCTTATCTATCTAATGGGGCTATTAAGAGAGACGGTCTCTAAGCTCCCTTCCATCTGGGGCTATGGTCCTGGAATTCTATTCCACCTCCCTGGGTACCTAGAGAGGCCTATCTGGGAGCAAACACACACAGCCTGACCACAGGGAGGCCTCGAGCTGGAATCACTCTAGGAAATGTCTCTCTGGCCCCAGCTTGTCCTAGAGGACCCCAGTCACCCCCGTCCTAAGGAAAGAAGAGTGTACACAGGTCTGGTCAGAGAGGTGCTTTCCCCACACCACCTCCTTGAGAGCATTCCCTGACTTTTTGACCTCATGTCCTGGGCTCTAGGCTTGGGTGGAGAGGAGGGGTGCGGGGGCAGCTGGATTGCCTCCCTCCAGCCAGTCCTTGGACAGTGGCCAGCCTCTGTTTCCTGCCTTGTCTGGCTCCCACCTAGCCTGATCCTGCCACCCAGAGACGACAGCGTCAGGTAGCCCCAGCCCTCCTTGGTCAGGAAGCAGAGAACCAGTGGAGAGGGGGCCCATGAGGCAGGTCCAGCCCAATGCCTCAGCCCCAGGGGAGACTGTGACTTGCCACCCACCGAGACCCTCTCATGCTAGCTGGGCATTGCCAGCCTCCCTGGCAGGGGACCCAGCCCTTCCTGGCACCAGTGGGTGGGATTTTCCATTCTGCCACACAGCTAGGGGCAGTGCTAGCGGTTGTGGGCTCTGGACGGCCTGGGGATACTTGTCTGGGCAAAGTTGCCTACCCGGTCCCTCCTCGCTTCCCACACCTGGGGCAGGGAGCGAAAGCAGAACAGGAGATGCCAGTGGGGTGAAGGGGAGGGTACCTTGCCCCCAGCTCTGCCCACTCTGGTTCCTCGATTCCTCCTTCTGAGTCTCTGGGGCCTTGTCACTTCCCCCTAGTACCATCCCTGGTGTCAGCCCCCCAGATATGACATCCGCTGTGGTGGGAGGGGCTGGCCCACCTAGCAGTGTGGGAGAAGGGGTCAGGCGGCCTGAGATGGTGACGGGGCAGGGGCAGGGTCGGGGAGGCAGCAGGGGCACTTCTCTCTCTGGACAGGGAGTGTGGTCAGAAGTGAAGGGGCCACACGGGTTGCACCGACAGGACTGTGGTTTTGGGGTCTGGACTCCCAAGCACGAGTGGAAGCTGCCACCCATCTTCTGGCCTCTTAAACTCAAGATGAAAATGCTTCAAAGGCCCGTTTTCAGCACCTTCTGAGGGGCAAAGCCCCCAGATGTGAATCTAGAATCCATCTGGCTGCCAGCGGTGAGGGGCTGCGATCTGTCACCCATCCCACCCTTCCCCGTCTCCGTCCTGGGAGGGGCCAGAGGGAGTGAAGGAGACGGAGCCCTGTCTTCTGGCAGCCCCACGTGGAGCGTTGGACTGGGGAGGGTCTTCTCTTGCTCTACCAGGGGACTCGGCAGGCTGGGGGGCAGCCCAAGTCCGGAGGCTGGAGACACAGCTCAGCTCAGACTGACCCCAAGCCAGAGGCTGAAAGAGTGTGCATGTCTGGATGCCCGTGAATGAGACCATCACCGAGATCAGAGCACGGTAGGGGAGGGCTGGGAGGGTAGCAAGGCATGGCCAGACCAGAGGCGGCACTGACTCTCGGGGAGCTTCCCTCATCTCTCCAAACCCCTCTGATGAGGGCAGGAGGATGAGATCCAGATGTGGCCATGTCCACTAGCATTCCCCCGTACTAAGCCCTTGGCAGGTCCTGACAGCCATTTCCGGGCTGGATGGAGGGACAAGATTACCCCTACGCAAAACGAATTTCACTGGGGCAGTGGGGAGCCCTTCTGCCCTAAGGGTGGGTGAGTCACCATGTTGACACCTGAAACTTATATGCAGGGGGGAAAGTATGGTAAGCTGGAGGGGAGGGGGCACCCAAACCAAGAATCAGATTCCATTTCCTGAAATGGTCCCTCGTTCCAGAGCTGACATTTAACCCTTCAGAGCCTGAAGCTGAAAGGGGAACAAGGTCCAGGATGAACACATTCCCTCAGGAGCACCCTCCTCCTTCGGGGTGGCTGGGAAAGTGGGCTGGGATCTGAGAGGAATCTGTGAATGCCCCAAACCACAAAGCCTGCTCCTCCCGCAGCCACCACCTTTCTTTGCTCTGCAGCGCCCCTAAGTCCCCCCAACCCCGCCCCCAGCTGGCTGGTCTGGACTTGTCCACAGAAATGTGCTGCCCGCTTCCCTGATGCCTGGCTGCTGAAACCCTCCCTGCGCTCTGCCTGGTGCCTGATGCCACTTGCCTGTCTCCTGGCCCAGGGCAATTGCCACCAGAACTACTACATCCTACTCCTACTCCTCATTCCTTCTCCAAGGCAGGCAGCTTTGAGTTCAACCTGGCCTTAGCCCAACAGCCCTCCCTATCCTGAGCTCCTAAAGCCAAAGATCACAGGACTTGGAAGGCAGGTGTGGGATGTTGGAGCCCCTATCAGACTGGAGGGTCCCCAGGGGCAGGAGATCGGGTGCTGACTGAGGCAGAAGCTCTGCTGCCTCCATCAGAATGGGGGATTTCTAAAGTGAGGGCTGTCTCTCCTTCAGCTGGGGACTAAGTGCTGGGACCACGTCTCTCTCATTAGACTGGGCGAAGGCTATCTCTCCCATCAAACTGGGGGCTCACTGAAGGAGGTGCTGTATTGCCTGCTCAGGGTAAAAGCAACCTGAGGATGAAGGTTACATCTTAAAGGGAAATAGCTCAATGTGTGCATGGCCACAGGATGGTAAGCAGGATGTAAAGGCACTGCCAGCCTCTCCCCGAAGTGGAAAAGCCCACCCGTCTCCCGAGACGGACGTCACCAACCAGAGACCAAAACAGCTCTGCCCTGGCTCCCATGGGGCTTCCTCCTCCCATCCCTGGAATCACCCCCATCTCCTTTGGGCCTGTGCCTAGCTAAGGGCACACTCAGCTCCCATTCACCCCTGGAACTGACAGCCACGAGCATGCACTCCCTTGTCCCCGGGCTTTTGAGCCCCAGGTCTGCCCCCCACTTCTTCCACAGAGCCCCTCCTTGGTGTTCCCTGCACGCCCCTCATCCTTCACTAAACTGCAAAACACGGTTGACCCCTCCCCTAGACAGGGCAAGCTGAAGTGGGCCAGCCCCACTGTGCTCCCTAACCTGCAACAACCCTGGCAACCATATGACCAGTGAGGAAACTGTGGCCCAGAGACAGGAGTGGACTCCCTAATGTCAGATAAGGACAGGGTGGGTTCCATCTCAGGTCCCAGAGCCAAAACCCACCATGGACCTAGACCAGGGCTCAGAGTCAAAGGGTCCCAGCTCCTGAGGGTCCTCAAGCTGTTCTTCCAGTTCAGAAAGCCTGCCTCATGGATCAGACCCCTCCTGTTCTGTGCTGTGCCCTGGGGGTAGTGGCCACCTTCGAGCTGCTTGCTGTTCATCTAATCACTAGCGGGCAGTCACAGAGAAATGAGTCCCCGAGGATGAGTTACATGCAGTACCCGCGGCCTGGGACAATGAGAACCCCCCACTTTCCAAACACTTAGCCAAAAGAAGGAAACAGTGAGAGGGGTTCTTTGGTGAGACAGGATCGGGAACGACGTCCTCCCTCAGGTTACCAGGAAGGGACTGAAGCTCAGGGAAGGTGCACGCTGCCTTAAGGTCACAAAGCTGCCCCAGCAGGCCAGGCGGGGTCTTTGTCGACCTCCAGAGGGAGCCCTTCCTTATGCCCCCAGCCCACCCCCGCACCCCCTACTGCCGGCTCCCTAACAGCGCTCACCCTCGCACTCGGCGTCGGCCCAGCGTGTGCACTCGCGCAGCTGGCGCTCGGTGTCCTCGCACACGGTGCAGGGCAGGCACGGGTCCACGTGGTTGGCCTCATCTGAATACGTGCCGTCGGGGCACTCCTCGCACACGGTGTTCTGCTTGTCCTGGCACGAGAATACGAGGCCCGAGCCCGCCTCGCACACGCGGCACGCCTCGCAGCGCCCGGTCGTCTCGTCCTGGTAGTAGCCGTAGGCACAGCGGCACACGGCGTCGTCGGCCTCCACGCACGGCGCCGACATGCTCTGAAGCCCCACGCACTCGGTGCACGGCTTGCACGGCTCCGTCGCGCTCACCACGTCGGAGAACGTCACACCTGAGCGCAGCGGATACCAGATTTAGTCGTCTGCTCTTTGGGCACCCGGGACGCAGGAGCCTGGAGTCTCTCCCTCACCCACTGCCTGCCAGGACGCTGACTTCCTCCTTCAGCTTCGCCTTCTCATCGACTCCCACCCTCTTCCAAGGGACTTTGACCCCTAGCCTGGTGAAAGTTGGTGGCAGCCAATTGGGTAAGGGGAAGGAGGCCCGGAGCCGCTTCCTTCAGCCTCCAGAAGCACTGGCCGGCCAGGAGGGTTTCCCGGATAACCCAGCTGGTGCCAGTAAGTTTCTTGGCAAATTCTCTTTGAGACTTCCCAGGCCTGTAGGGTGTTCCAGCATGATTAACGAATAATCTGAACGTGGTTCCCACCCAGCCCTCCCCGCGGGCCAAAACTGGGCTGCTAACCCAGTCCAGGCAAGGTAGGCCTTCCCCTAGGGAGCCTCCTGCCTCATCTGCCTTCAGTTCCTCTTCACACAGGTGTGGGCTCAGATGCACCCTGAATGGGAGTGACCGGGTTTAGACAGCAGAATTTCCCACCCGTGGCGCTACCCCCACGCTGCTGAAGGGCTTGGCTCCTGAGGGTGGGGATGGACCAGCAGGCAAGAGGGTTCAGGTAAGGCAGGAGCCACTGAAGCTAGAGAGCTGGCTCTTAGCCCACACTCAGTCTCTCAGATGGATATTGTTGAGCAGTACACAAGCTGCACAACTGTATAGGATCACCCCTTTGAGATCTGCACATGCGTCCTCTGCCCTTTCAGCCAGCATGCAAGGGAAATGTCCAAGCTCATTCTTCACTCATGTTTTCTTAATTAGTGGATGTGCGCTCCAGAATAAGGAGAAGGAGGCCAGGCATGCCAGGGTCCTTGCCTCCTTGTACAGGGAGGGGAAGGAGCAGGGCCAGATCTTCTTCACCCCTTCCAGCCTTGGGTGGAGAACTCTGTGCCAACCTGGATCTGGCAGAACCTATCCTTGCTCCAAGGACAGAAAGAACATAGATTTAGGAACCTGAGAACTAGGGAAGGAGAGATTGTTCAGAATGTGGAAGCAGAAGCAGAAAGGCTAAAGCACCATTGGGGGAAACTGAGGCCTGTTGGGGGGTGGGGTCTTAACATTATTCAAAGGTGTCAGAGACAAGATGGAGCAAGGGGTCACTGGCTTGGGGGGTGTAGTGGGGGGATAGGGAGGCAAAGAAGGAAAAGCCAGAGAGAAGTGAAAGGGGCAGAATTGCGGACAGAGCCTGGGCATGGTGGCTCACTCCTGTAATCCCAGTACTTTGGGAGGCCAAGGCAGGCAGATCACTTGAGGCCAGGAGTTCAAGACCAGCCTGGCCAACATGGCAAAACCCCATCTCTACAAAAACTACAAACATTAGCTGGGTGTGGTGGTGCACACCTGTAATCCCAGCTACTCGGGAAGCTGAGGTGGGAGGATTGCTTGAGCTTGGGAGGCAGAGGTTACAGTGAGCCAAGATTGCACTAGTGCACTCCAGCCTGGGTGACAGAGTGAGGCACTGTCTAAAAAAAGAAAGAAAAAAGAAGAAGAAGAAAATAGAAAAGGGTAGAGGAGAGAAGGAAAGACCCAGGAAGAAGGGCCTGGAGGGAGACTTCAGTTTCAAGTCAGTTCTGACAGAGGAACCCTGTATCCCTTTTCCTAGGAGCAGGCAGATCTGGATTCAAAATCTACTTCCATCGCTTATCAGCTGTGTGACTTTGGGTGTTTTACTTAACCTCTCTGAGCTTTTTCTTTCTCTGTAAAAATAAGGAGCAATATCTGCAGTCACAGGGTTGTGGTGAGGAATAAATGAAATTCAGCCATAAAGTCTTGGCATGTAGTTGGGATCCTATAAAGACTGGGCCCCATGGGGGTTGGGAGCGATAAGAACAGTGAACTTTGGTGGTAGGAATATGGTCAGACAGCAGAAAGAACGTCCAAACACAAACAGCCAAGGCAGGATGTCTGATCTATACAAACAAGAGGGTCCTGGCTGGCTGGCATGTGACAGAGGGTAAATCTAGTCACACAGGAGGGGAAAAGGAGAACCCTGCTCATGGCAAAACACAGAAAATTAGCAGAAGCCGGGCGCGGTGGCTCACGCCTGTAATCCCAGCACTTTGGGAGGCCGAGGCGGGGGGATCACAAGGTCAGGAGATCGAGACCATGGTGAAACCCCGTCTCTACTAAAAAATACAAAAAATGAGCCGGGCGCGGTGGCGGGCGCCTGTAGTTCCAGCTACTCGGGAGGCTGAGGCAGGAGAATGGCGTGAACCCAGGAGGCGGAGCTTGCAGTGAGCCAGGATCGCGCCACTGCACTCCAGCTTGGGCGACAGAGCGAGACTCCGTTTCAAAAAAAAAAAAAAAAAAAAAAAAAAGAAAATTAGCAGAAAACTCCTGGGAGAGGGTTTTAGGTGGTGTGAAAAATGTGGTCTTTTTTGGCAGAGAATGAAGGCAGGGGCTTAATAGGTTTCCTTGTGGAAACGTTTTAAAGATAGAGGGAAAGTCCGCTGGGGTCTCCATCCCATAAAGTGGGCTTGTAAAGGCAGCCTGTTAACACAGCTGGAGGTGGAGGAGCGGGAGACAGGGAAGGAGGGGAAAAGGGAGGGGAGGGAGGAAGTGGAAGGGAGGATTCTCAAAGCCATCTCCCTGCCTGCCTCCCTTCCCTTTCAGAGATTCTGGAACTTCCCTCTCCTGGTGTCCTTCACCCCACCTCCTGCTGAAGATCCTTTGACTGAAGGGAAAGGGTTCCCATCATTTAGGTCCTGGGAGGAGAGCCCTGGGCTGGAGTCCAGGAAGCGAGAGAGGCAGATTTGGAGGTTCTGGGATAGCTGATGGTTGGCCACCCCGCCCTGGGATGGAAACCCTGTTAGGCCAGACAGCAAGATGGCAAAGGCATTGGAGGATGTCCCACCTCCACACATACGCCCAGGCATCTCTTGGCTGGGGAATGGAGTTACAAGATCCACAAGCACAGAGAAGGGGAACAGTATGTCTGGGGAACACCAAGAGTTGGGGTTGCCTTAAGGACAGATAGACTCAGGGGGACATCCAGAGAGGTAATACTAGGTCCGCAGGTGGATTCAGAGGCCCCAGCTCTATCCCCTTATTCCCAGCCAGATTAAAGAACAATCTGAGTATGGTTCCCTTGAGCCCTCCAGGTGGGCATCAAGTGCCAGGTAGAAGGCAGGTTCTGAGTGGCAGTCATCAGGAAAAGGGCAGGGAGCCCATGGTCCAAAGGCAGCAACTGCGGACTGGGGGCACCCATCAGGGACCAAGACCCCTGACTCAAAACACGAGGGGATTCAGACCCTGGACAAGACTGGGGCTAAGAGGCCCAGACCCACCAGCCCTGGAAGATGAGATTCTCTCCCCTCCTGAAAGAAATTCCAGGCAGGGTTGAGCTCGGTGGCTCATGCCTCTAATCCCAACACTTTGGGAGACTGAAGCAGGTGGATCACTTGAGGCCAGAAGTTTGAGACCAGCCTGGTGCCACATGGAAAACCGCCATCTCACTAAAAATACAAGAATTAACCACGGCATGGTGCCTGTCACCTGTATGGCCCCCAACCTTACTCAGAGCTGAGGCATGAAATCACTGAAACCTA